TTTTTTTTTTTTTTTTTTTTTTTTGCTGGGACCTTGCGTGGTCCTTGCACGGGCTGGCCACCCGGGACCGGCGGCCCCGGCTGGTAGCCTAGTTTATTTATTAATTTATTTATTTATTCATGTATTGGCCCGGCCGTGCAAGTGACCCCGGGCCACTCTGGTCGTCTAGACAATTTCAAAAAAACAAAATCCAAAAACAATCACACTCACACTTACCATTTTATATTTTACTTAGATGGACACGGTTGCCTGTGGCATTTGGTTTTCCTTCGGGATCTCTGTGAACTCTGCCAGGATTGCCCGGAACTCATCGCCTGTCATGGTCTCCTTCTCCAGCAGGACTTCGACGATTTGATCGATTGCTTCTCTGTTGTTCCTGATATGTCGCAATGCTATTTCGTACGCGTTGTCGGCGATCGCCTTCACCGCTTTGTCGATATCCTCTGCCAACTTCTCCGACATGGAGTTCCTCGCCATCATCCTCATGATCATGTCTCCGCCCGACGCAGATGGGTCCATAAGGGCCCAGGGTCCGATTTCCGACATGCCAAACACCGTAACCATCTGCGGATATTCCCAATCAATCAATCAATCAATCAATCAATCAAGCCAGTCAGCCAGCCGCAACAGGAAAATCAGTCGGCGCAACAGGAAAATCAGCCACAAACTCACATTATGGGTAACACGAGAAGAAGGGACATTTCACCAAAAAAGGAATATAACAGTCATGGCACACGGAGGTGATCGATCACCTTGACGACAAGATGGTGAAATAAGAATGGTCATCATCTGGCAAAAAAAGGCCAGGCGTTCTATATACTCGGGTGAAGACGGGGAAAAAAAAATTAAAAAATTAAAAAATCAAGAGAGAGCCAAAATTAGAGAATCGTGTTAAAAAAAAAGAAAGAAAGAAAATCGGTCCTTCCGGACATCCATTAAAACTCGAACGAGACAGAGAAAGTTCGTCAGGGGTCTGCACAAGGATGACACAAATAAATCAAGAATGTTTCCACCTACACAATTGCTGTAGCGACTGCAGGCTGCTCTCCTGCTGTCTCTTATACACATCTAGATGTGTATACCCTCTCCCTCCTCTCCTTCACCCCCTGTCATTCATCATCCTGGTTTGTCCCTTAGCCCTCCTATCACCCTCCCTCCCTCTGCCTCTCCTCCTCCTCGGTCTCCTCAAGGTCTTTCCCTGCTGCACACACTAGCAGTTCCTGGTGTGCATGGGATGTGCACACAGGTGACGTGCACACACAGCATGTGCCACGTGTGTGCATCCCATGCATGCTCATCTTGCAGCTTTTTAGAAAAAGTATGTGGAGAATCATCGACATGTATCCGAGTGCCATGCGCATTCATAATACAATGGCCTGCGTGCACATGTTATGCACACAAAAAGTGCGGAATGGGGCGGGAGCCCAAGAACATGGATGGCAGATGAGACAGCAGCCACTGCGGCAGTGACAACAGTGGCAGTGGCAAATGCGGAGGCCACTGAGAAGGAGATGTAGGAGGGAGTGGGTAAGGGCTGCAACCATAATGGATGTGGATTAGGGGGAGAATGGCATCGGAGGATCATGGTGTGAGATTGTGGTGGCATGGACAGGAGGACCAGGGTGTGAGTGTGGACAGTGGGTCGCTATTCAATCATATGTAAACAAAGCAAACAAAGCAAACAACCAAACAAACAGAGAGTAAACAAAACAGATGCTAACAAAGCAAACAGAACCGTTCCAAGATGCTGCTAGACCAGTTCTGGAGAGAAAACCTCTGCTAAATTCACACAAAGGCTGCTGCTCATTGTATGCATCAAACCAATAACGCCGTCTTCACGTGTGCATTCATTCCAGCTTTGAATGGTATCATTTCGACAGGCTCGTGAGAGGCAAAAAGCAATGGAATAATTAAACCCGTGTTTTCAAATTCGTAATCGGACGCTCTGACCTATCAAGTATTATGCATTCACCAAAATGTGGTCCCCACCTTAAGGGGGCGGAGGGAAAGTCAAGTATTATGCATTCACCCAAATGCGGTGCCCACCTTAAGTGGGCGGGGGGAAAGGATTGGGTGGGAAAGGCTGATTGGGGGTTGGGGGGGGAGGGGGGGTGGCGAGGAACAATGACTTCTCTTATTTGTCAGCTGTAACAAGCTGTTATTCACCTGAAGCAACCTATCCAGTCCACTGCTTCCAAGCTGCGAAGTCCTAAGCCTTAGTCAATCCTTTTTCTCGTCAATTTTGAAAGCACCTTTTTTTCCTGTCCTCTTTTCTCAACGAGACAGGTTTTACGGCAGGAACATTATTGTCTTGTGATAGTTTTGTGACAGAATTTGAGACAAAATTTGTGACAGAAATTCTGATAAAATGATAAAATTTGAAGCCTCGTAACTTCGTGACGTGTTATAGTCAACGCACCAAATTGCGGGGAATCAGCTCCTCCGCAAGCCTGATGGGGCCGTGCTATGAAATGTGGCCCGCTCAAAGTGAAGGCGGGCATGATAATTCCAAGAGGGCCTCCTATGTTGTCAATTTTGCATTTGGTGTTCAGACAGTTGGGTTGCGCCAGTTGGTTGAGAGAAAGCCCAGGCCCAGGCCGCAACATCCTGCATCGGCCTCCAGGCCAGTTCTGGAAGAACTGTGGAAGCAGGCCCTGGGCCACACGCGCAGCAAAAGGCACGACTGGCAGTTGGAGGGTAACTGAACGGGGCCCAGGGCACAGGGCCTACCGGAAGCTTCTGGGCACAGGCACAGCCCAGCCAGGCAGCAGACCAGGCCAGGCTCTTTCCATGTAGGAAAGAGCTTGCTGACTGGCCAGGCATTCGCGTGCTGTGCGCTGCGCTAGGCAAGGTGTTCGTGTTTGTGCACGTGCGGTTGTGTACGCAGGGCGCTGCTGAGGGCAGCGCCATAGTCCAGCTTCCATAGCTGGCTGGGCTTGGTTGTGCAGCAAGGGGTAGTGGTGGTCTTCGTGTATGCGGAAGAAGACGTGGGTGAGAGACGAGGAAGAGTGAGTGAGAGAGAGAGATGAAGATGGAGATGTGGGGGCACGTACCTGGTCTTGGCAATAGTCTGCAAGGGTCGACATCTTCATGTACTTCGGTGCTGCTGGTGACGTCAACATTTGCATTGTCAATTCGTAGGTTGGTAGTGGCTGCAAGATAGTAAATATAAATTAAAAAAAAAAAGATTTTGGTGAAGAATTTCGATGTGACCCTGGGGCCTGGACCCACTAGCAAGGTATTCTACCACGCCGTTCAGGATTTCGATCACGTGTGGCATCGAGTGACTCAGTACGGCCGTCGAATACATCGGATCTCGACGGCCTGTAAAGACGCCCACCTCCGTCCAATGAGATGCGTCGAAAAACAAAGAAAAAAAAAAATTGGGCATGATAGCTCAGGGCTTTGCGTGGGCGAGAAGTCTGGATTTTATGTGCTCTAAAGGGGGGGGGTTGATTTCCAGACTTCGTTTTTTTTTTTTTTTGGGTCTGAGAAATAGAACTTGAAATGTGAAGTTCAAATATTGTGGTGGATCTGACAGGAACGCTTCCGCGTCTGTCGGATGGCGTGCTAAAGGCGTCATGCGATACATGGCGAGGAATGTATCCCAATACCCGTTACTTGTTCATCCTCGTGAATGTGTTCGTGGACACATTTTATTGCCACGGTACATCACTATGAAGACTTGCGTGAAGGAGATCGTACCAACCCATGAATTCGGGTGCACAGCTGTTCTTCATAGTTTTATGTGCTATAATTTCAATTCGTTTTAAATCAGAAAACGATCCATTCATGCAAATAAAAAATCACTTTGTATTTTCCAAAAAAACATAAAACTGTCTCACACATCGTAGAATACTTCGCTAGTGGGTCCAGGCCCCTGAGGCAAAAGTTGTT